TATATATTAATATATATTTCATATTTCCTTTGATATGTAGTAGTCACGAAAGCCCTTGGGGAATTTCTTATTCTTTCAGAGTGGTTGTTTTGCATATTTATTAATATTATTTTAAAATATATATAAAATTTATATATATAATATTTATATATATATATATATTTTATATATTATATATATTATATATAATATATATATATATATATATATATATTATATATATATATAGTGTATGTGTGTGTGTGTGTTTAATTACTTAAGACAATTGTAATTTAAAAACTTTTTTTTTTTAATTTTGATTCGCTTTGCACAAAACTGGTAGTGAGAGGAATATTGTATATATCGTGAAGATGATTCAATGTTTGTAAATAAAGAAGTGAAAATCAGAGTTAAATGAAATTTACATCGAGGCTCTATGTGAAGGTTGTAAATGTAAATGCGTATATAGTGTTTCAAGCGGAAGGTTACTTTGTGAAGGATTTACAGGTCAAGGAAATGAGTAAAGATGTGTATTCTGTGTGCTTAAATGAACCTTGTGGGTTTAGCGCTTAGATATGATTATTCTAATAATAATCTGTGTGCTTAGGTCTTAGCCACATGTAAAGGAAATGTGTATAGACGTGTATAGGAAGACTTATGAATTTCTTAGATTCAAACTTATGACTTCTTGTATATATGCAACTCTGTGGAAAATAAATCCCAGACGGAAGCTTGCGTGAAAACGAAGACTTCATAAAAGACCCATAAAAGAAACAAAATGCGCACAGGTCTGTACTTTAAGAATCCTATCCAAACGATCAGGAACCCATCAGGAAAGTGAGCAGATACTGCTTACCGTACCTAAGTCTCATTTTCCTAGAGCTTATTATACCGCCAACTAGCTGGTTAATAGGGTTTCAAGGTATCAGTATACGAGGGTCCTTAAGACTACACTTCAACTCTTAACCACCAAGTTAACTGTTAGTCCCAGGTGTGAGTGTACACAAATTACTGTAAACTCTAAGCGTACACAAACTTGAGATATATATCCTTCCAGGTGTACATGTACTGTTACTCTTAATGCACACTCATCAGGAAAGATATGTTCTTCTGAATATATATGTAGTGATGGATATATTTCTTTAAATTAACAAGGCATACACAAATTTCCAGTTTTTTACTGTAACGAACGTAGTGTTATTTAACGTGTTCCTGCCTTACGTCATATTAAATATATTACTGTGCTAACTTCCTGATGTAAAGACCTAGTTATTAATGTTCAGACTTGTATTGATGTTCAGATGTTTGATATTCAGACGTAGTTACTAATGAACATTAAAATGGTATAAAATACCGACAGATTGTTAGGTAAGACACATATGCAACAGTTAGGTATCTTTATTTCGAAACGTTTCGCCTACACAGTAGGCTTCTTCAGTCGAGTACAGGAAAGTTGATAGAAGCAGAAGATACTTGAAG